TCAGGCTTCTATAGATTCGCTGATGGAAGCTATTATTTTGGGACATGGACCAAAGGGCTGAAGGATGGACGTGGAATATTCTATCTTGCTGGAAGTAAGCATCTAAGTGAGCATAATCTTGAGGGACTGGAAGACAAGAAGACAAAGATGCTATCACATAGTTCATCATTAGATTCGGAGGAATCTGTAATACCTAGTGTGAAGCATAGTCTTTCTGATAAAATTTCGCATAGTTTCCTAAGAGGTTCAGGACGCATGTCACATAAAACTATATCCCTGGATGCTGATTGGGGCTGTACTGATCCTACTAGAAAAATTACATCATCCTTATCTTGCAGCTTGAGAGATAGTCGAAGTGAGTTACAAGATAACAGTGCTGTGGCTTATGAGAGGGAATATATGCAAGGAGTCCTTATTAAGGAAAGAACTAGAAATATATCCAAACTATCCCGTAAAAACAAGCATCATCTCAAATTTGCAAAAGAGGTCCAAAGGAGCTCATTTGTGAACTTTTTTGAAAGCCACAGGAGCTATTATCTAATGCTTAGCTTGCAGCTTGGTATCAGGTAGACAAAAGAGGTTCTCTTCCTTTACTATGTTTTTCTTTTCCCTGCCTTGAAAAAGTCAAATTTGATGTTATGGCGGTGGAACATCTTACTTAAACATCTCATCTGACGTTCACAGGTACACTGTAGGCAGGATCACACCCGTTCCTATGCGCGAAGTGAGACCATCTGATTTTGGAGAGCACGCCAGAATAAGAATGTATTTTCCAAGTAACGGTTCCCAGTTGACTCCTCCGCACAATTCAGTTGACTTTTTCTGGAAGGACTACTGTCCTATGGTCTTCATGTAACTATCTTTTCACATCATTTCTGGTGCTTGGTGTTTTAATGTTTTGGCATTCCTTTTATATCGAGTCTACATTATTCTTCTTCTGCTATGTACAAGAAATTTTAGGTTTATTTTTTATTTTTTTCCTCGTCGTTTTAGGTTACTTAGACTGTTAACTGGATCTTTTTATATATGTGGATATAACTGTAAAAAATAAAAAAATAATTCTTAAGCGGGATTTAACGTAAATGCCTCCTTCATTTCTAATATAGAATTATCTTTCCTATGAGTTTGATATTACAAGTTAATTCTTCTTTCATTTATCTGGGAAGGAATTTAGTTGCCTTTCGTATATAGGGAGATTAGCTCTGCAGATATCTGTGCCTAGCAATCTGGTTATTATTCCAATTTTACATGTTTTTAAGGATTCTTCTCACACCTTCTGATTACAACCACTAATTTGGATTTATGTCTTGTTTATTTTTAAATAAAGGGCACAAGTAATAATGTATTGTTACCACAAGAGGGGTGATGCTTCTTGGACTGCAGTATATGCAATTTCTAATTCATGGGGGATGTAGGTTTTGATAATTAAGCGACCTTTTATTTATTGAAACGCGTTTTAGGCATACTGCTAGCATCTAGTTGCTGTTTGACATAGATAAGAAGTGCATGCAACACATGCTGGTCATTGTATGAAACCTATGGAGTGGCCAACATCTGCTCATTCATCCCTTAATTTCTGTAATCTGACTAAGGCCCCATTTGATTCCCATTTTTCTCAAAATGCATTTTTTTCTCTCTTTTTTTCAACCACACATTCTTTATTAAAATAATATTACACGTAAATCAAAAACTTTTCATCCACACATTCTCCATCAATCTAAAAATGGGGGTCAAACACCCTCTAAGGTTTTGTTTTAGGTTGAGATAACTGACATGAATTCATTAAATTTGCACTTGCAATTAACATTGAAGGGAATTCTAATTTACTATGCATTTCCTTTCATTCCTTCAGCTAGCAGTTTCCTCTAATCATCTGTAAAACAGTGGGCAGTTTTTAATTATGCTTATACTGCATCTCCACATTCAGTCACTCCCTCGCAAAATGTAAACGACGAAATAATCATAGATTCATAGTAACAGAAGGGCATGAAGGAAGAATAGAATAAAAAGTGGACTTGTTCTCAATTTCCGCCAGTCTTCTCTCTGACCCACGAACAGAAATTTCCTCAATTTTTTGTATACTCCAAGAATTCTTTGGATTTGTCTGAGTTGTATTCTACCAAAGTCCCTGTATGATAACCTGTGAAATTCCTGTATAATTCGTTGTATAATGTTTTTACATGATTATATCTTTTAATGACTGGCACGAGCGTGTTGGATCTCACTTTCAGGAATTTGAGAGAGATGTTCAAGTTGAATGCTGCAGACTATATGATGTCCATCTGTAGTGATGATGGACTGAAAGAACTATCTTCTCCAGGGAAAAGTGGAAGCCTTTTCTATCTTTCTAATGATGATAAATTTGTGATTAAGACATTGAAAAAGTTTGAGCTGAAGGTTTGTCTATTCCATGCATTTACTGTGAATATCTTATGATTATCATTTCTAGTAATTTATCCTTAGTATTTTTCTCTAGTAATGGATGAATTTACATGACTAACATTTCTAAAATGAGTCCTTTGAACTATGTTCTTAGCGGATAAAATTGTTCAGTGGAATTAATAGGGGATAGATATTATGTCCTTTCAGTCATAATATGAATAATGATGATATTGAAATTACATTAAGAATTATGTTGTAACTGAGATTTTAGGTTTCTAGTTTAGTTATCGATAAGAAATGAGGACTCACGGTGGTGTAATACATAAGAGTAAGGTGAATTTAACGAAATGGAGAAAGGCTACTTGGATTACATGACATTGCAGGACACCTACCTACTCAACAATGAATTCCGAGCTTAAAAGATTTTTATGGAATTGATGGCATGAATTAAGCTGAGCATGATGTACAGGTAGGGAAAATATGAAAACTTAATCGAAGTCTGTCCATTTGCTTTCTGTCAAACAATAAATACATACTAACTTAAGCACCAGAGTGTTCCAACACCTTCCCCTCTTTCTCGGTGACTGAGCAGTTGGACGATGGACTGCATTGCAGTTTGAACAGGGTTATGGGAATAAATAGTTGGCATGAAGAATGCATGAGGATTTTTTATGGCTTCAACTTGCATTTTTTTGTCTATGTATGATATGCATTACATTGGGTTGCTATTTAGGATGTCCGCTTGTCTTATCTATCACAAATTGACTTGGAAATGCTATTAATTACTCTTCTATTGCACAGCTGTTATTCTTAATGTTGTGTACAAGATGCTGCCGCACTACTATAAACACGTACAAGAGCACGAGAATACTCTTATAACCAAATTCTTTGGGGTGCACAGGATAGCACTAAAACATGGGAAAAAGGTAGTTCCTTGGTCATAAATGCAAGTTTCTTTCTGGCTACAAATATTACTTATCTTTAGGATGTATGCTGGTTTTATCCTCTTTGTTTAGTGATACTTTGATTTATAAGAAAAGTAATATTATGTAGGATTATATTATGTGATTTAACTTTATTTACAGGTTCGCTTTGTAGTCATGGGAAATATGTTTTGCACAGAATTACGCATTCATCATCGTTATGATTTGAAGGGTTCATCTCAAGGGAGATCTACAAAGAAAGACGAGATTGATGAGAGCACCACACTGAAAGATCTTGACTTGACATATGAGTTTCATATGGACAGATCATTGCGCGAGTCACTTTTTAGGTAAGTTCTTTTTCCTTGTCAATTTCCACATTGGTTCTAGACTCTTAATTCAGTTGCAGCAACTAAAGTGAAAAAATTGATTTTAAATTGTTCGGTTGTTCCATGCACTCGGTACTAGCAAATCAAGTTTTCTCAGTAGGTAGTCATGCATTTGTTAAATTGTTTTCTAATATGACTAATACAAATAATTATAGAATTCTTTAGCTTGGCTGAGAATAAACTCTGAATACTAGGGATCTATCAACCCAAAGAGCTGATTTGTTGGTTTATTGTGATACAATATTAATTTAAAAGATTACCTAATTAAGATTGCACAAGCATAAACAATTATTCTTAACGTTTCTTGAACCTTATATTTGATTCTCACAATGTGCTAAACTATTTCAAACCTAAAAAATTAGCCACTTATTATTTAAATGGTGATCAAACATTTAAATAAACCATAAGAATATGATAACAATTAATCCACAAAAATCATACTAAAAAATATTCTTTGAATTAAAATGGTAAATCAAAGGTTTACATCATCATCCTAACACTTAACAAGTTTTGTCTAGCTTGCTAATGATGCAATTACAACAAAAAATTTGAATAATCATCACCCGAAAAATATAATTGCAAGAAGATGAAAGAGAATAAATTTTGACTCCTGTGAATTCCTTCAAACGAATCTTCAATTGATTCCGGATTCTCTCTTGCTTTTGTTCTCCAATTCCAGCTTTAAGTCTTCAATCTCTTGATGTTTTATGCCTTGGTACTCTTCCTAGCCGCCTTCTCTAAAATCCCTACGTTATAGAATGAAGAATGTCAAATTTCTTACCAAAAGATGGATGAAATTGAAAAGGAAAAAAGTATTTCCCCGGTGTTTGTACCAGGCGATTGCATGGTAGAGATGGCTGTCTGTGATTGCATGGTACAACCATTATACTTTCTGTTTCTCTCTCAATAAGCCTTACAACTGCAAGGGGTATTGTACCTTGCAATCGCAAGGTACAACCTTTATTCCCTTTTCACATTTTTGCCCTTGATTTCAGCCTCCCATTCAGCTCAAGTCCCTTATGATTGCAATTAAAGCATTCATCTTCTAAGTTGTATCACCTTCGTCCGCATCCTCGGAATAATGCCCAAAAAAGTCCTCTCTGCTCGATTTTCGTTCATTTTCTCCAAAAGCTCGTCCAACATTGAGTTTTACCTAAATAGATAATATTTATTTGATATTAAGCAATAATTCTCTAAAAGTACTTCCAAATATTCACTTTTGATGGTCTAACTAAGTGTAGAAAATACACTTATCACTAGCCATATTCAAAATTATATAATAGGCTCGGGGGAGAGGGAATATACCAAGGACCTGAACTGGAATGGACCTCAGAATTTATATTTTTTGTATACTCATGGATAGCCTATATTTGCAGCTTCTTAAGTGTTACAAAAATTTCTTTTGCTTTCTGACCATGTTAATAGTTCGTTCGCCTTCTAATTATAACAGAATAATTTTGTCTTGTCTTGCTTACAGACAGCTATCTCTAGACTCTTTATTCTTAGAATCTCAAGGGATCATAGACTACAGCCTTTTATTGGGGTTGCATTTCAGAGCTCCTGAACATCTAAAATCTCTTTTAGAGACACCTGATTCATTGCATACACCTGAGAGTTCAGTTACCGACGTTGATGGTGGGCATCTCTTCTTAACATGAAAAACTTGGGATCTTAAGCATTAATTTTGAGTATCTATTTATTTTAATTCATTCTTATGGCATTTCATGCATAACTTGAGCATGGAATATTCTATTATTCCAATGTTATTCTCTGGTTGTCTAAAATTTTTCTGACTATTGTTTAAAATCTTTTATTAACTATTAAGTTTACTTCTTTATCTTTAGCTCGTTGAATGAAACATCTGTTTGTTTATTCACCTCCTCTCCCCTCCACCTCCCCCCATGGCCTTTTTCCCTTCTTTTTGGGCTTCTAAGTGTAATCCTACTTGGATAAAATACATCTTTTTCTATTCATGTAGGGAGTCTGGGATATATGCTCAGGCTGGGGTGAAATATGAACTTTCTTGTCCCCAGTGTCCTGGTTTAGTTTTTGGACAAAGATGTGATTTATTTGACGAGGATATATCTGCAAGGCATTGCTCTTGTTAGCACCTAGACAGTTTTTTTAAAGTTGAGTTTTTATAGTGTCTGTATGATGTTAAATTGCGTTATTTGCTTTAGTCTTTAGTAATTACTTCAATTATCATTTTTTCCCTTGCACTGACACATGCTTGCTTCTTCAAGGTGTGATCTCGTCAGGGGAGCACTTGATTCTTCCGAGGGGTTTGGTTTTAGTAACCCATGAACCTAGCTCAGTCAGCACACTACCTGGTCCACACATTCGAGGAAACGCTTTGAAAGCTTTCTCAATTGGTAACAAGGAAGCTGATCTTCTTTTGCCTGGTACTGGAAGGTAACTTCCGCTCATTTTCGCCTTCTTTTCTAGTGTTTTTATCCTAATTTTATCAAATTGGTCCACATATATTACTCGATATCCCCACTTGGTGCTTATTATATGTTTCCTTTTACCCATAACTTGTGTTTAATAAATAAATGGTTTGTACTTAAACTTGCTTGCCACTCCTCAGGTTACGGGTGCAATTAGGCGTACATATGCCAGCTCAAGCAAATCACAGAATTGTGCAGGACGATACAGACTCAACCGAATTTGAACTTTTTGAAGTTTATGACATTATTCTCTTCCTTGGTGTAATAGATATATTGCAAGAATACAACCTGAAAAAGAAAATCGAGCATAAATATAAATCTTTGAAGTTTGATCCATTGTCAATATCTGCCGTGGAACCCAAGGCTTATTCAAAACGTTTCATTAGCTTCCTTGAAAAGGTTTTTCCCTTAGATCCTTAACAGTTATATCTGAGCTGTTGTTCATGCTTTCAGAATTTGTTTTTAACCAACCAATAATATGTATACTTGTCGAATTCTTTGTATAGAAGATGCCCTATTTGTATGGTAGTAAATTTTGCCATTGAACCAGATAATGTGCTTTTAATTAATGCTGATTCTGAGGATACAAGGATTTGTTTGGCGTACACCATAGTTCTGAAATAATGTGTTTTGTAGAGAACATTTGATTAATTTTTAACGTTGTTAATCTTCTTTAACGTACCAAACGTGACATTATAGTAAGGTGAACTTGTCACCAATCTCTGCATGGCTACTGATGAAGTTATAGTTGAATTGTTGCAACTAGCTAAGCATAAATTTTTATTATTATTATTTTTTTGGATTTGGGATTTTTTACTGAATTTATCGTTGTCGTCCTTAAGTCGACAATGAACCCTTCCGAATATAAAGGATTAATAATTCAAATGGTCACTGAACTTTACGAAAAAATTTCATGGGGTCACCGAATTTTAAAAATCATCCAAGTCATTATTGAATTTTGCAAAAGCTTTCTACTGAATCACTAAACTTTAAAAATCATTTATTTATCACTAAACTTTGCAAAAGATTTTCACGGGATTCTGAACTTTACAAAAGATTTTTCATGTATCACTGAATTAGTGATCCCCTAGGAAACATTTTTCAAAGTTTAGTGATGAATGAAATGATTTTTGAAATTCAGTGATACTGTGAAAACTTTTTGCAAAGTTCAATGATCCCGTGAAAATCATTTATAAAGTTCAGTTATGACTTGGATAATTTTTAAGGTTCAATGACCTTATGGAATTTTTTTACAAAATTCAGTGATCATTTGGGTTATTAACTCGAATATAAACACTAATGGAATACCAAAAGGAATGCAAGAAGGTTGTTTTTATTCTGGTTTCTTTCTTTGATTATAATAAGTTTAGCTATAGTTTAATAAGTAAGTTTTAGAATAAATAAATTTTAGTAGTCAAGAATAAAAAACTCCAACTTTGACATATTAAGGGTCAGTTCGACAAGGTTTATACTTTCCCTTCTACTTCTTGTAAAAAAGTTTTCTTGAGGAGCTACCTTATACCATCTTTCTCTAAAAGTTCTAATCGGATAAAGTACTTTTTAAAAAATTATTCAAATTCAAATATTTCAAAAGTAATTTTTTAGTATCAGAATTAAACTTTTGATTTTTCAAAAGAAACATCCCTGTAAATACCAATTTAGTTAAGAAAATCATATGAAATAGTGGGATAAGTAATTTTCTCTTTTTAGTTTTTTATATGCGTTATTTCCTATTTCAATATGCTAAATCAATCATCGAAATATAATTCGTATAATCAGTTAAATCTCAATTAATTGGTAATAAGACTCATTTGAATTTGAAGGTAGGAAGGAATCTTTCTCCATTAAATCAATGCTCTCAACATTTCATCAGATCTCAGTGTGTAAATTAAATGCTGTCATATCTGCCATTACAATTACATTCATCGGTTACGTTTCCATACCTCAAACCCAACAAATCATAAATATATAAAAATGTTCGCATTTGAAGGTAGTAAAAAGACATAAATGCTATTCATTAATATCACAACCATTAAAGCAAGTCACAATTTCATCGCCAATCATCAATGCTCCATCATCCAAATGACATTTTTGCCCTGCAACAATCAAAAAAAAGAAATTAAAATCTTATTTATTATGTTGTCTTTCGTGTCGTTCTAATACCGCATATCAAAGATGCAATAGAAAACAAATGTAATTGAATTGATAATTATTAAAAAAGAAGAAAGATGGGTTTATAAAAAAAAAAAATTAAAATTAAAATTAAAATTTCAAAATTCCTTACTCACAAGAATAATGCTATATATGGTTAGGTGATAGTGAGCCCTTTGATTCAAATGAATTACTCAACTGCTATCATATAAAAAATGTGACATGTTCATAAAATTGAAATTCCAAACGATGCTGGCACAAGAGGGCAGTGCCTTAATTACTTCATTGCCCACCTATATCCTCGTAACTCCAAATCCTTGAATTCATTATAATTTTCATGTGATATTGTGGAAAAATCACCGAATTTCTCCGGTCAAATTTTAAGATTGTTTAGAGAAGATGCATCATGTAAAAAATTAATGTGACATGTTCATAAAATTGAAATTTTAAACGTTGCTGGCACAAGAGGGCGGTGCCTTAATTACTTCACCGACTTCCTACATTTTCGTAACTCCAAATCTTCGAATTCATTACATTTTCTCATGAGATTGTGGAAAAATCACCAAATTTCTTTAGTCGAAGTTTACGATTGTTTAGAGAAATTCATCCCAATAGATTAGCATTAAGAACAAGGGCATCTTCGCAACGAAAAAAATTAATTATATAATTGAATTTAATTTTTTTTAAAAAAAGCCAGCAGCAAGGTTGTCTGAAAAAGAGCTTGTTTTGCGCTTCAACTTACTGCATTTGACTGTGTTTCCGTGTTTAATGGGCGTCGTTTTTTGAGAGAGAGAGAGAGAGAGAGTGTGTGTGTGTGTGTGTGAAGCAGTTTAATTAGTTAACATTAAAGTGAAAAAAATTGGTGAAAAAAACAGTCAACGGGAAATATAATAGAGTAATAGGGTTTCTTAACCCTAGATGCCTGGAACTGTTTATACACTGAATTTCATGTTTCAATCCACAAGAAAAATGGTTTAATTCAAAGCAAAAACGACATCTTTAGGTCAGTTTGTATCTAATGATGAGTACATAATTAGATACATCATCCACTGGACAGAGAGTCCACAGAATTGAAAATTCACCACGAACCCTAATCGTACAGACACAGAAGAGAGAGTGTTATATAGATACACAGAAAAGGAAAACGGAGAAGCAGATGGATTTGTATATGATGAGTAAATGTTTTGAGAGGAATGAAGCCTGGTCCGATGCCTTCACATTCTCACTGTTAACAGCAAACTGTGATTGCTTCGAGCCAGCCAACATCCCCCTCAAACACTTCTTCTTCTTCTTCTTCTTCCGTTTCTGCTTCTCCGATAGTGGATATATTACTCTCACTCACATATATGAAATGAAAACTGCAGCCATGGAGGCGCTGGGAGGAGAGAGAGAAAGAGAAGGGAGGAGAGAGAGAGGAGAGATTTGCCCACACTCTCTATCTGATACTGAAAAACCTAAGCCGAAGGTGCTGATTTATAGGAGGGAGAACGGGGGTGAGGGTGGGGTTGGTGTGGGGAATAGGGTTACTCCTTAGGCGATGACTACAAGAAATTGTGTAACATGTATGCTTCTCGTGATTTGAGTAAAAATAAAAATTAAAAAATCACTTAATTTGATTCAAATAATTTACCAAAATAAAAATTAAAGAAATATCTGAGGATCCAAATTTATTTATTCACTTACCATGTAAATGAGGAAACAATTTGGCAAATTACTATATATTGTACGAAATGAACATGAGAAATTATTTCGGGCTCAGGATTTGGGGTTATGATTTATTGAAGTGTACGTACTACTTAGAATCCGTTAATTTTAACAATAAAGATTAAGTACGAAGTCGAAATTGTTTTGTAAAAAATGATTTTAAATATCTTATTAACAAAGTCAACGAGATCTAACACGTGGATTATTTAGATCTCAGAGATCAAGCTTTGAGTTTTGTATCAAATGTGGTCCACTATCCGGAATGCATTAATTTCAAAGAAAAAGATAAATTATGAAGTCGTTTTGTAAGAAATTATTGCGATCATCGAATTAACAAAGTCAATGAGATTCTAAAGTTTACTTTAGAGTTACCTTAGAGAAATGAAGGATATAATATTTATGGAAGCATATTCTATGATCGTCCACGAAATATATATGGACACGATAAAATGTGCAAGTTTAGTCACAAGAGTAAGATTAGGGGATGTTTGAACGCCTTTTTTCTGAAAAATCCTTTTTTTAAAACTCATTTTCAACAATATATTCTCCAACAAAATAATATTGTAAATTGAAATTTTTCTGAATTTTTAACTATACATTTTTCAAAAATTACTATTCAAATATGTTTTTCTCTCAAAATGGGGCTCAAACAAGGGCTATATTCCTTTGTTTGAAAGAACCTACTTCTAAGCAATAGATTGTTAAATAACACATCACTTAAGCTTTGAAGACTATTAAGGAATTGGATTCCTCGTATAATTCAATTTTACACTAATTTATTTTATAAATAAGGAGTCGTCCTTGGACTTTATCATCATTATCAAAGAGAGAAAAAGAGGGGTTAGAGAAGATAAGAGTGTGATTTCTTTCTTGTAAATCTTTTGTGGTTATAGTGAACTACCGCAGCATAGGAGAGGGCATAGTTTTACACCGAGACGAACATCTATAAATATTACGTGTTCTTGAGTGTTTATTTTTCTTTCTTCAAATTGATTGCACTCGATAGAATAGAATTAGGGATTATAATTCTTAACAATTGGTATCTAAGGAAAAATAGGATCCAAATTTTACATCTTACTATAAATTTCTAATGTCTCTATTACAAGTTTACGTAACACCTATGAGAGATATTTAGCATGTTGTTGACTTAGATCACAGTTGATCTTCCACGTTATCGTGATCGTAATAGAAAGAATTACATTGAATCGGCAAATCGAAAATTTCCTAACAAGGGATTCATTTGTACCCCAAATAACAAGTATGTTTGGCAAATAAGTAGCTTTGTTATAACTCTCGTCTTGTAGTCTTGAGACACACAAATTGGACAAACAAAATACACAAAAACTATGGGTCGACCCAAAAATAGTGATTTTGAAATAGGTCAAATAACAAGCTCATGCCTTACTCGTGTCTTATTTTGTGTGGGACCCACTCTATATATTTTTAGTCACATAATTGTGGAGAGCCCATCGCTTACAAGCCATGGACTTATTTTCCAAACAAGCCCAAGTGGTTAGATAAGCCATTGTATTGTGCTTGTTGTACATCCTCGTAAGAAAGAGATGGATCTTGACAATGTACGTACATAGTTGAGCCAACAAAATCATATGTTCCATACACATATAGGGTGCATAATGGGTATAATCAAATCGAATTTGTCCAAGAGATTAGTGGAAACTGCATTTAAGACTCAATATGACTTGTAAGATTGGTTAATCGCTTTGAGACTTTTACTCCAATTATGACTCATATCTTGCAACTTTAAATGATAAAAAACCCTATATACGAATCTTAAGAAATGATCTTTTGAATAATCTCAATTACTTTCTTAGGATTCATCTGTATTTTCTTTTTCTCGTGATTAGAGTGCAAGTATGAAAAATAATTTTCCCCTCCTTTTTCCATTTCTTTAGTGCAAATAATTTTTTTCACGTAAGGCTCAAAAATAGCTTCAATCAAAATAGGTGTAATAGACATGCATACAAAAAACTCGACATTCTCGTACAAGCATAGTATGTATATATACTCGTGAACAACGACTCTATTCAACAATTTTATATTAAAAGTTCAATCCGGGACATATTATGTCACTCATGAAAATAATCAAAATATAACAACTTTGTTCATTGTTACATTTATGTTCCTAACTTTTTCTCATCTCAAACTCATCATTAACATTTCATTCATGGGAAAATATTGTCCATAGTGATGATTTCAGTCACAAAATCTATTAGCGTACTTTAAAATGGGAGACATATATTTAATCGCAATTTATATTTATTATTTTTTTATTAAAAAATATGAGGAATAAATAAGTCTTTAAACTCCATATTAATTGAATTTTTGGATGAAGCCGTTGTGGGGCGACAAGATATGGAACATAAAGGATAAGATTGTGCTTATGGAAAGAAAAAAAAATTGAGGATACAAGTGTGACAACGAAAAAAAGATATTAATGAATCTTTTATGCAATTAAATGTGACACACTTATAAGAAAATGCAGTGTAAATATATTTAGCCAAAAGGCAATCGGCTGCCATGCCATGCTTAGGATCCGCCCCTCGAGATGGGAGGTCTGAACTTTGAAATCCAGATTACGGTTTCAAATTTCAAATTTTTGACAGAATATGAATCTTGCTATGATCTTTTAATTGGGTGGGATTTATTATTATTATTATTATTATTATTATTATTTTTTTTTTTTTTTTTTTTTTTTTTTTTTTTTTTTTTTTTTTGTTTTTTAACTATTTGATATGGCCAATGCTTTCGAAAAATCAGGCATTCTTTGTGAAATCAATTTTATTTAAAATTTATTAGATGATACCTAAGTAGATTAGTAACATGATGGATTCCACAAAGTGCGAATGTATGGTTAAAATTATGTTTGATTTTGACTTTAGTTTTAAATTATAATGAAATCCAAAAAAGCGCTAAATATGTAATGTTCTTAACGGAAATAAGGATGCATGTCTTCAGTGGTAAATTGTTCGCTAAACTGATAGAAGTGTTTTGACTTTGGTAAATATGCAGTTAGTCACATAAAGATTGTGCTACTGAATAGAAGCGGAGTTAGGATTGTAGAATTGTGGAGGAAATTTTCTATAATTAAAATCATGGGGCGAAAATCTTGAAGTAAAAAATCCGCCACATTGTGACTTGTTTAATTTGCAATATGACTCTATTATTTAGTCTTTAGTTTCAAAGCTTGATCAACACTTCGTATGGTAGTCTGTCTTGATTGAATGTTTATTATGATTTTTGGTTGCTGGAATTTGATAAGGGCTTTTCCATTTTGAGGGTTATTTTACATGTAATTGCTCATGTAAAGTCTTTGTTGATGAAATCATGTTCATATTTCTACTCTTTACTATGGAATCTTTCTATAGATAGGTTAATTAACTATTCGAGCAAGAGTAGTGCTATGAGTACAAATTTACCTAAAGATCAACGATAGCACATGCAACAATTAATGAAGATCAGTATCTATTGCACAAATTGTTTGCGCTTTTAGCAAAAGTTAAAAAAGATCACCAAACCTATTTAACGTCAGATTTGGATGGATACCGTCCAAAATAATGATTCTTGCTAGCTAGTGCAAGATTGGAGTTAAATTCGGGTAAATAAATAAATAAATAAAGGATTGAGGCACGATTGTTACTTGGGGAAAAAGTTGAGGATGAAAAATACAATTTACCCATAATTAAATAATCTCAAAAGAGGAAAACTAATAAAATGCCAAAAAGGCAGAATATTCAGATTACATATTTAAAAACCAAGGCTACCCTAATTTTACCTTTTTATTTATTGTGTCAAGTAGAGATGGCAACCAGAGTGGGTTCAGGGAGCAGGGTGCCGGGTGCCGGGTAATTTTCCGCCCCGTTTCCGTCCCATTACCTATTTAAGCAGGAGCAAGGGGTGAGGGTGGGGCCCTTCCCCATTTAATTTTTTTTTAAAAGTTTTTGATAATTTATTTTATTGTCCAAAATCATTAAAGTGAGAAAATAATATAGTTATTAAATTTTTAATTAATTAGTTTATTTTTAAAAGTTAAATTATTACAATATATTTGGTAAATTAAGATTTTAATTGTTTATCATATTCCTTAGATAAATTTAGTTACCATCTTCTATTAGAATTAATAAAAGTTTCGTGAAGTTTTTTCATTTAAAGTATTGAATTCTTAAAAATTAAAATTAAAATTAAAATTAAACGGGGTGGGGCCTATGTTACCCACACTCACCTCTGGCCAAAATTTCCCACCACATATATGATATATCCAACCAAAATACCCGATTAAGCGGGTAATCTTCTTCGTCGGTATCGAGTTTGATGATATTTTTTTTGTCATCCCTAGTTTTAAGCAACAAGATATTTTTGGGCATGAGTCAGTCACTTCTCAAGCCTGCTTCTCCCTTCTAAATTTACATAGAATTTTACTATTTATACATCAAAAATGTACACAAGTGGCTATCTCATGGGGTGGGCTAGATGTTTTGCCATTCTTCGAAATGATTGTGCTACATATACATCTCAATTTACAGATTTATTTACCAACGGATAATATGATTAGATTTGATCGAGTCAAAATCTCACCAATCAAATTAAGAAAAAAACAAAATCTCCGCTTTCTTTTTGTCATTATCCCACATTACACAAGTAAAAATGTTTACGTGGTAAAGGAATTTTTGACAATTTTAATTCAATTTATCCCTACTTCATCAGTTTGTAAAAGGATCTGAAAATGCATAATAAACATTTTTCTACCAAATAAAATTCCAAAAAAAAAATAACAAATTGTCCCCCAAAGTGTTTTTAGTAGTAGTATAAAGGTCGTCTTTGGAGAATAGAAGAAAAATGCAGAATATAAATCGATTGGGTTTCGCCCCCAATACCCGGCAACGTCGGGTTGTCAGCGCCACCGGAGGATCGGGAAAATCCAAATCCGAATAACGAGAAAACAGGTCATTCCGTTCAACGCGCTTTGTCACGCGTGGTCACAAAGAGTTCAGTTTTAAATTTCGTCGTGTATTGCAACCACCCATTTTACGCGCGTAGTTATATTACAGTACTGTGTGTAAATGAAAAGTGGTCAAACAAAACTCCCATTGGTTCTCACTCACAGAATAAATGGTTGCGATAAGTCTCAATAATCTGACGGCAGAGATGATGTTTTTGAGGGTCGAATTAAATGCAGGTTTTGTACATACACCAACAAACGCCCATTTATTCAGAGAGATGGGGCCCAGTTGGAGGAGACAAGACACATCGTTAAATGTGAAAATCGTCAGTAGTGGGTCCCATTTTTGCAATTATGTGTTAATGATAGGAGTATGAACATCATTGCATGTATAGGAATGAGAGAGAAACAGGAGAGAGATAGAGATAGACGCAAACAGACCTCTTTTTTCCTGCAGAAAATGAAAACGGCAATACCCAAAAATCTGAATTGCTTGCTATTTGTTCCAAATTGGACTATCAACAATTTTGCCAGTTTTTGCTATTTTCTGACAAAACTTTTGGTTCATTACAAGCCGGCCCACGGGCCCAGTTCAGTTTTTTGATTTGGGGTCTAAAAATAATTTTATAATTTTTCTTTTCAATTGGACATTCGACTAATAGAATCTTCTTGTTCTCGTCTGAAAGAAAAGAAGTTGAAATAAATGCGAATATTGAGGAATTGAACCATAATAAGCTTTGTTTTTCCCTTTAATAATCTGATAGCAAATCATGTAAAACTATACACGTACAATTACAATCCAGGGTAAAATTCATGCACAAGGTAAACTAAACTACGAGTCTCCAGAAAGAAATTAAGTTCTCCATTTATTTTTTATCAATACTTGGAGAAGAAATTTCACATAGCTACATCTAAACCTCATTCCTTGCATCTCCGTGACACGTGAAAAGGCAATGACAAAAAGTTTCATGACGTAGAACCGATAACCCAATTCACATTCCTACTATAGACAAACATGTACCAGCGAGAATTAAGTATTTGGGCTCGTAAAGATGGGGCCTCCTATACGTCCAGGGCGCAAAATGGTGCCCCTGTAGGTGGGGGGCCTGTTCCCACCTATAGGGGGATGCCAAATGGCGCTCCTGTCCGTCCAGGGCCCAATTGGCCCTGGACAAGGAGCATTTTTCCTGTAATGATTGCACTGCTACTGGCGCAAGATGGCGCTCCTGTCCTTGGCACTGGACAAGAAGCTTTTTCCCATAAAGATTGCACTGCTACAGTTTTCAGTCAGCTTGTAATGCACAAACAAAACCCATAGCATTAGAACACTGCAAGACATCGGTGAGTAGGGTAAATCACAAATATAGTTTTTTAGCATTGAATTATTCCCAGATTACAAAACAAGCAAGCAGTAAGTGCGAAAAGAAAAACAGAATAAGGACACCGTCATCAATCATTTGAAACCTAGGGCAAATGACACCTTAGGGCGGGATTTGTTCTTCCCCAATACTTTAATCTGTTTGGATCGTTCTTCCTCTTCTTGTTGCTTTTTCCTTCGCATTGCCTCTTCTTTTTGCCTTTGAAGCTCCTCCAATTCTCTATAGCGTTCCTCCTCCCTTCTTTCTTGTTCTAAAGCTTCTCTTCTTTGAGCTTCTTCCATTTTTCTCCTATTCTCTTCAAGTAGCCTTTCCAGCTCTTCTTTCTCTCTCTGGGCTTGTTCCTGTAAATTTCAAGATTCAAATTGTTAGATTGAATGGAAGTAAACAAGGCCTTCCAGCAAGATACAGTTTCAAGCCCTTGCTTTGGGAGAAAAATGGAAGTACAAAGTATGGTATCCTTTTTCTCTGTACATTCCAGGCATAGCTTTAACAAATTTCCTTTTTGAATTTCAAAATAAAGGAACTCTTAATACAGGCCTGTGTGGTGCGAGCCAAAATGTAGAGGCAGGCTGGACCAGGGACGTGTTTTCACGTGCAGGGCCACCTAGGAACTGGGTTGCCACACATTTTGATACATCTATACATCATAGCGCATCTTACATAGCAAAACAAGTAGCTCATTGAGATATAATGGAAGCTCTAAAAATAATTAGCAGTTTGCCAACTATGGGTAAGCAAGGGAGAAGCCCTCATCAAAGCATAAAGCTTCCTTAGTCTCCTAGCATGTCAAAACAAGCTGGGCACATTTTTGAGGTGAAATTAACTCCGTACTGCCACCTATGTTACTAATGTCAAATGAAAAATACAAAAACAGTCTCAACAAATGGAGAATAAGCAAGAATAAGGTAGAAATTTATTATAGTTACTTGCCTCTCTTTGCCGAGCTTCAACAAGAGCAGCTGCCTTTTCTTTTTCAAGTTGAGCTGCAACTTCAGCAATAAGTTTCGTCCTACCTTCTTCTAGACGCCTATGTATTTCAAGCTTGATCTCCTCACAGTTCAAGCTCTCTTCAACTTGTTTCTGAATTGCTGTTTCTACTCTCTTTGCAGTTTCTTCTTCTATTAATTTTAATTCTGCCTCCTGTTGACGCCTAGAAAACAGTAAGAAATGTTAGATGGGAAATAGCTGCTTATCCAATGTGGAAGAAGTGATCTTAAAGAGAATAGAAGGACTATAAAACCAGAATGAAATATATAATGTTTTAAGTAGAATACAGAAGAACATTAACTAAGCAATGCTCAGTCGTTTTTATATTTCCTGGGTGCATAACTAAACTGAATGACAAACTAACCTCCAAGGTTGAAAAAGCATTAAACATACATGCTTATACTTTCAAATCATACCTCTAACAGAATCCTGATCCAAAAAAATTCAGTTTTGAAACTGGTGAATAGTAGATTAATGTGGCAGCCAATGAGATCATCAATATAAACAAGAGCAGAAACATCCTTCAGTTAATCCTGTTAAGAAGAACATCAAATAAACCGTTGCAGTTTCCATGCTAATCACTAGAGTACTTCAGTCTTTCCATTGTAAAGATTTATAACCAAGCAAATGGTATTTTGCTGTTAGAATAAGAGAACATGCTTTTCAACATACTGACTTAACCAGTGACAGGATCCACATTCCCCCGACTTCCATTTCCGAGAATTGCGATAAAAATAGAATGTATGGTGGAGACAAGAGTCAAAAAGTCAAATGACCAAAGAAAACATAAAAGTTTCATAAAAAGCCACATATACATGTTTGAAGTTTGCTTATGGATTCTTCCTCTCAGATCCATTAGGGGTCATTTCCAAACTTAAACCACAAAGCTCGAACCCTTTTTCACTGAATTAAGTCCATGGGGTTTAATGCTGAGATCTTTCTCTAGGTTCACCATAGTATCAATTTAACATTTTATAAATAAGTCATAAAAAGGGCAAAAGCTGAATTGTAACAATTTCTTTTTAGTTAAGTCAAAAAATAAACCACCTGCATGAAAATTGAGACAAAACAAAAGGTGTACGGAAAATTAAAAATGAAATTTAAGAGGCAAGGCAGCATTGCATGCGGGGGTTTACAGTGATTGCAACAAAATAACAGCAATATAGATAACCATTCCCTATAAAAAATGGTAATTATTTTGCAGGTACAGATTTTTTTTTTTACCAAATTTTATAAATACAACTCTCTTTGTGATTTGCTGTTGCCAAAATTAGTTTTTGACAACAATCAAACCCTGTGAGAGCTATGTTTTTTGTGTAAAATCTGTTGAAAAAATCTGTACTTGTAGCATTTCTCGTTGGGGCAAAAAAAAAATAGCGAAAGCAAAAGGAGTGTAGCATTGCATTCAACATGGCTGCATGATAACATATTTCATCGAGTACAAAGAATAACAAAAACTTAAAAATTTTGTAGGGAAAAACTACAGCTTAGCCTCACAATCATAGACACATGAATGTAATTTAGAACCTTCAAAAGAAACAAGCATCCAAGCATAACAGCTCGGCTGCACTCAGCATCTTCATTTTCTTTCTAATATGCCAAGAGGGTGGAGCATCCAGTATACTACAAGCAAGCCACCCTTATAAACAAAGGGCGAGTGGGGGAATACACACACACACGCACACACACAAAATTTAAGTTAGTGGCAATATCTCAAAAGAATAGAAGATTCCGAGAAGTACCATAGATCTAATTGCACCTCAGAATACATATATTTGGCTACATGTGTTTTCTATCAATAACAAGAACAGCTTCACAGCATTGTACTGAGGACCTAAACATGGTTACTGAATGTGAAATTAAAAGCATACAGCAGTGCACCGTGGAATCGCATAAACTATCAAAATCAAAGAACTAACAATAATAACCATAAGTATACGAAAGAACCCTTTTTTTCTAATTCCTATGATAGTGAATGTACTGAGGGACTTATACCTATTATTAGTTGTACGATAAAGGAAAGCACAACAAGAACTAAACACACTGAACAGAAGTCTTTTAGAGAAAGCATCCCATTCACCGTCCAGTAGATTTGGGTGATTATGAAGGATCATCAAAGCTAAATGGATGCCATCCCCATGTGAGATGCCATTCCAAGTTCTGATTTTAAGATTGGAACTTGTTTTTGCTAACAGTTTCGACAATACTTGTGAGGCAGTTTTGCACGTAAGGAACTGTACAACCATGTATAATTCTCAGAAAGAAACAAGAATCCACTAGGAAAACCACCGGGCGAGATAGCAATAAAGACGTATCTTAAACCTCCGGAAATGACATTCCTGTTGAACACACTTCAATTATATTAAGAATTTAAGATTTGAACAAAAGCGACTAATTGGGTAATACAAGCCACTAATTTTTCAGCAGAACGTCTACATCCTGCCTAAAAAGTAATTAAATAATGTCATCGCCCGCCTCATACATCTCTTAGCCTTTGCTAGGTGAATATAACAAACTGCACTGATATAACATGGCAAATTTTTATTTCTACCACCTGTATCCCAAATAATTAAAAAATTGAGACTTTGAATTCAAATTGGACACAAATGAAAAAAAGAACCTGTAAACAAGCACATCACACTGGTAAAAATACAAATAAAATGCTACAAAATGTAATAACGAAGATGGTGAGGTGATAATTATACCTTTTCTTTTCCTCCTCTTCTTTTCTTAATTTTTCATTTGTGTCTTTCATCTCTTTTGACCCAGCACTTGTACTGGAAGATGCATTCAAAGGAGATAATGAGGTACTCTTTCTCCGTCTTTTACTCCGTCTTGGCGTTGGAGAGTGGCTTTTCTTACGTCTTGAAGTCGGGGAGCGGCTTTTACGATGCCGGGAGGACAATGAACGACTTCTTCTTCTGTAGAATACAGTTACACAGTTAAGATCAAATGAAAATATTGTCCACTACAATGTTATGGAATCTCGCTTTGTCCGAACCCCCAGTCTAATATTAAGAAAGCATGTACTGTTACCTCATGTATTGCAAAGAATAAACTGTGTGCTCCATCTTTTATCATAAGAAACTGCAAATATCACAATCGAGTAACGAAAGGACACCCATCGGTTCCCATCACCTGCTCATTTCCCAGAAGAAGGGAACCATTGTTTCTTTTCTTAATTTCCCAAACAACAAAGAGGTTCCCTATCCTATTCATGCTATGTTTTAAGATATAAGTCTCAAATTCTAGCAGATTGTAAGGAAAAACTCCAGCATCCAGATACATTTATCATGAAAGTTTACAATTTAGCAGCTTTTTTATCACACTAAAGAAAGAATAGTCAAGAATTGAACAAGGCAAAACAGTCATCAACTCAACAAACATTCAAAGTGCACGAGGAAAGTGAAAACTCTCATATGAAGCAACATTGCACTAGGGACACCAAGTTATACAAGCCATACGCATCTGCTAGATCATCTTGAAAAAAAAATAATAATAATAATAACAAAATAAAAAATAAAAAATCAATAAAATGATTAATTACTAAGCATAACATTTATAATAGCTTTGGACATGATCATCCAGAAAGGCTCCCGTGATGTCAATTTAAGCAAATGGAAAAACCTCAGCTTTTCATTGGAGGACATTATACTTTCCAGGATAGCAAGATCTATCAGTCTGAATATTCAAGAACAAAAACCACATGCTCCAATGTTCTTCATTGTTTTTGTTTTTATTTTATTTTATTTTATTATTATTAATTTTTTTAATTTTTTTTTTGGGGGCAGGGGGAAGCAACTGTGCGCCATATTTTCATTCAATACAAATTCTATACGATAACTCATTTTCCGGCTTTAAAATTTAAAATCGTGCTTCATACAGTTTTTTTGTTTGCAATTTTCACTTAATACAGCGTACTTCATCGGAGACCATAGCTGACTCTTCAACACAATTAATCTAAAATCATAAAACTATTCTGCATAGAGTACATGAAATATATAAGACAGAAATAAGTGTAACTAAAAGGGTATCACCTGCTATAAGAATACGGGGATCGGCTTCTATCTCTCCTGCTACGACGGCTATACCTGCTACGTTCCACCGGCGACGGAGATGGTGAATACCTCCTCCGGTATGGCGGGGACCGAGATATTTCCCTATCCCTACCCATCTCTGATTACTTATCCAATTTTACACGGACTAGAGAAATATTATCACCTGAACATCAACTGTATCAACTATAAGAAAATAAATTGACAACAACAAATTACAGATTTTCTAATATTTTTATTAAATCTATCAATTGATTCTCGATTGAAATGAAATTAATACCCAGTCACAGAGACAACGTATCCGTAGTTGAACTTCAACGACTCAAACAAGGGCTTAATAAACAAATTTGTCTCAATCTAACTTAACTACCCATCCGCTTTAACCAAGCTCACTTCTCAAAATCTTCCCCTTCCAATTAACCTTAACGGCCTTCCCTTTGAAGTTATGAGCATTCATTTCAAAATTCCTAATGTTCATCTCTCTTTTAGTAGGATGATCAGGGGCCCACCTAAGGCGTAAGGAACAAAACTCTCCGTTATAATGATCAACGAAAGCCAAAAAGCACAATGGATTCTTTCTATAGGCGGCTTGCCTCTTATCGCGCTTAGAGCTATAGAGTTAGAGTTTATGGTTATATCTTTAAGATAAAGGAAGCACGCATGCCGATGCTCGTACATTCAATTTGAAAGGAGTTTACGGAGTTCCAACAAAAGAAAATAGCGAAATAGAAGGATATTATCCCAGGTTAGTTTGCTCTGGAGGAACTATCCGATATAACAGACGCATCCCCATCTGAACCAAGAGATTCAATTTGAAGAAATGCCTTTAAATCTTTGTGTACTGACCCCTAATTGAATTGTTTGGGATTCAGAAGTGAAAGAAATCACTTGCCATTTCCTCAATTGCTATTAGGATTATAACCGATGTTCTAGAATCTAGTGAGCTCAATTTTAACAACAGCTCAATTCATATATATATATATATATATATATATATATATAGGGGGTAAGATTAGAAGATAGTTGGAGAAACTATAAAACTTGATGGATTTGGTAGATTGATAAGTATCAAAATTACACTACACCGATTTTCGAAAATTTTTAAATCATCCAAAATTGTTGTCTAAAAAAATTAACAAACGCCGATTTTTCCGACCTCAAAAACCGTGGCACACAAAATCAGTTTAAAAGAAAAAAAAAAATAAAACTCCCCTTAACTTGTAAAAACGTGTATTTGCATCCAAACACTACACAAGCTCTTGCTCTCCTAGGTTGATTGAACTACAATGATATAGCTAAAAGCGATATCCAAATGCATGGAATGTTTTATTGTTTGAAGTTCGTTGATATTCAAAAGTGATGTGACACCTCTTAATTCAATTCACGAAAAGTGATAAATGATGTTAAAAGTTTCGACTCGCCTTTGTGATCGGAGTTGAAGACTGCGTGTGCGCAAGTGTGTTGTGTCCAAAATTCGGTGGTGCCTTAGGATTTAAAATGGCCTCTTACGTAGAGTGTGCGATCCCCAAATCGCAATGGTTATTTCTTGTTACGGTATCCGGTCTTCATACATATGACATTTGTCCGATTGATGACTAGTGATTGGCGGATTATGTCTGCAAAGGTGCACTGATTGCCTATACTATAGACCTATAGCCGACCTTTCCCATCATTCTCTTCATTGTCGGGATTGGACTATTAAGGGATAAATCTTCAATAATATTAATGCTACTAAAAATCATACTTACAAATTTTCGAGCTTGACGATTAAGGATGAGTACAAATGAAATCTTTCAGTACTTGAAACAAAAGCGTCAAGGTGTGTTATCATTATCCCTCCAATGCTTAAATTAGAAAGAGAATTTGTGTGTGAGGCTATGAACTGAAAATAATGAAAAAACGTATTTGAATAATGATCAAATGCTTTGGATTTATAGAAATAGGTAGTGCACTTCTAGTATGATTAAATAGTGCACTCCTTATCTAACTGAAGAGTTGCAAAGTGTTTGGAAGCCTTTCCACACCTAAGAGTTGTAATTTGATTGGTATTACATCATTAATGTGTCTAGATGAGGATAGAACTCCGATGGCAGAGTCCTATCAGGAATGGACATAATTGTTATATCAAGACTCAACATCCTTAGAAATGGATAGGCCTTTTCTCGTGGAAGAGTCCTAATGGACTAAGTGCTACTGGATACGAGGTTAGGGCATAACTTTGAGGACACCCCAAACAAGCGAGAAAAGCTTACCTTCGAGGATATAGGCCGATGATGCACACGTGATGAGAGGTCATGTTCCCAAGGTGATTCTTACCCGAGAAGTCTTGACCGAGGAGCATAATATCAAATAGTTACTTAATTAGGCCTAATTGTCCTTTTTCTATAGATGAAATGGTCAATTTTGAACTATGTAGCCAAGCCCAGGGCATATACGACCTCTGAGCTTGTGACCCTCCAAGATGCGCCAACATGGATCGAGGTGAAAAGTGAATTAATACCCCATATATTACCATTGGAGATTGGAAGCCAACAATTGAAAGGCTCAACATGGGGTCAAGAAAAATCATCTTTTTGTTTTTTGTTATTTATTGGAAACTTTTAAATTTAAATTATTTTTTGTTAATAAATTACCTTTGGAGGAGAAATGAAGTTTAAGAAAAGGGGACCAAATATGAACTTAATTTCAAAAGAACAAAAACGGTGGTAGAAAGCCACCATGTAGTAAAATGCTCTAAAATGCCCATGTTGAGTCCATTTTTTTACAAAAGCTTATTTTTTTCAGAACTTATTTTCAACCGCATATTCTCCATTAAAATAATTTTATCCCTAAATCGAATTTTATTTTATTTTTTAACTACACATTCTCCAAAATATCATTATTTTGAAACCCATTTTTCCCCCAAAATGGAACTCAAACAAGGTCATTGTATGGCACACCACGACTTAAAATGTCCAACATCCTAAAATTACTAATTTAAATATGAAAAAAAAAAGAAAAAGGATCTATTGAACTTTTCAAGCACGTGGAACGCCACATATATGATAGATAGTGCCCATGAATAGCATTATTTGTTTTCAAATAGTAATATTTGAACTTCAGGAATTGAGATAATTTTACGTAGAGAAATAATTCAATCAATTGTTTTAGTCAGATATATCTGTTGGCGCTATGGGAAACTGCAAAATTCAACATGATATCCATCTTTATTTATCAAGCCCGCCACCAATCAGCCGGAACCACATTAACAAGCCCAGAAATCAACCAAACTCTCGTCCGAGCTCCATTACAAGCGACCAATATCCCTCGAATTTATGTAATTTAATAAATAAATCCCACAAATGTTAAGACCATACAGCCAGCAAGAGAACAATCAACCCACTAAAACATGGCAAGATTGTTAACTGCACCTGGGCCCGAATGGGACCCAACTTACAGAAACGCATCCTTTTCAAGCAGCTTTAGTACCTCAGTCTGATTATTTAGTTTGGCCACATCGATAGGCGTCTTGCCATCCAAATTCTGGAGAGTGCTGCAAAAAAACAAGCGAAGAACAAACTAATTAAGCGCAGGGCTATTAGAAAGCAAAGCAAACATAGAAGAAGGCTTACACAGCAGCGCCATTCTTCAACAGAAGTTCCACGCATTCCTTCCTGCCATAACCCGCAGCATAATGGAGAGGAGTGTTCTTATTCTTATCCAAAGCATCCACCTTAGCCCCGGCCTCCAGAAGAACTTGAGTACACTTGACCTGGAATGGAAGTATGGGATGAGTGCAATCATTCAGATTTCATGATCTATCAAGTAGAAATTCGAAAAATCTAGTAGTACAGGGGAAAAAGAAAAAGAAAGAAACATGTGGGAACAGGACGGAAGACTGTAAGACAAGAATAATGACACAAGCATATCATCAAGGAAAAATGGAAGGCCAGGTGTCTGGGCAGATTGGGGGGGCGCAGGGAAAAAAGGGAAAAAAATTGTCCCCTGGCTCCACGGCCTCCACCCCTGGATGTGTCAAAGGGAACATGTAAAGAATGCGTGGCATGTGGAACAAATAAACTTCAAGAAAAGAAAAGAGGAAGCTGTGGGGAGACCCAAGTGATACGTGGAGATAAGCGAGCCATTTCTCTCTCTCAAGGAATTTTGAAGAGTGACAGAAGCCTGTAAAATGGCTGACAGGTCAAGTACGAATATAGCATAGAAAGTTTAAAATGTCAAAGAAATTTTATTGAACTGTGATGCCAAAAGGACAAAAGAAAGCTCATTGTGGTAATATCGTATACCTCTCCATATCCACATGCAAAATGCAGTGCTGTCCTTCCCTCAGAATCTTCTTCGTCTTTATCAGCACCATCTGCTAGCGCATTCTTCAAACCCTAGTTATTTCATGAAAAACTATGTTAAATTCACCGCAAAGCTACCGGGAAAAGTACAAGTAAAATGATGATGATGGCAATGAAACACTCAAGGACTAAAAAAAAGGAAAAAAGAAAAAAATTAAAAGTGACGAGTACTTGTTATTTAGGGTGTGTTTGTCACCCATTATTTGGGAAGAATGTATTGTGGAATAGTGATTGATGTTGAAATGTGTGGTTAAAAAAAAAAAAAGTTTTTGATTTACGTGTAATATTATTTTAATGAAGAATGTGTGGTTGAAAATGAGTACTGTAAAAATAATAATGGGAAAGAATGGGAGAAAATGGATGACAAACGTGGGCTTAATTTTCAAACCAGTATTAATAAGCTTGGGAATGTACCTCCACGTCACCAACACTAGCAGTGTGATGAACAATGGATTCCTCTTCATCTACTTCCTCTGCTTCGTCTTCGCCAGCAGCATTGTCGGCAGATGCAGCAGCTTCTCCTCCAACAGCAAATCCCATTGCTTCACCCAACTTCTGGAGAACTTCTTTGTCATTCCAGTACCTAATTGACATAAACAACCAAATAACAAAAAGTGTACAGCTCGACAATGAAAATATTAGCCCCCGTTTGAGCCCCATTATTTTAAAAATGAGAATGAAAAAATATAGCCGTTATGACCCCACATAAGAGATAAAAAGTCAAGTATGGTGGCTTAATGTGATGGATAACGATCATATTTTTCATTTTAATAAGGAAATAATGGGGCTCAAACTGGGCCTTAGTGATGTCAGATAATTCAACACCATATGGGTCCAATATGACATGACAAGACAAGCTTTTATAACTATTATGAGAATTTCTAAATATTCTCATGGGCTGTTAACAGCCATTACTTGTCAAATGTCCAATATTGCCTCACATCATTATTTCATAATATTGAAATAACCAAGCTACTAATATAAGCAATCTCGCCCACGTGTCAAAAATAATTTGAGAAAGCTCAAGACCGGGATTTTCGGCCATTCTCCTTCATAGCATGTTGTTCACCATCAGATAGACCAGCAAAGTGAATCAATCGGATCAATAAATTTAAATTATAATACAGTCACGTGCCATCACGAACGAGTCACCTTATGTTAAATATATCATACTTAACAAAATATCAAAGGTCGCTAGACCTGCAAATGGACCAAACAACAGAATCTGAGAAAAAGAACTGACCTCATCATAGCAGTTGGACCACCCTTTTCTATCTCTTCGAGAATTGGTTTCAACGAGGGATCTTCCTTGATACGGGCCATTCTTTCCTCGAGTTGTTCTTTCTGAGATGGATTTGTTAAACTCTCAAGCATGCTGGACATGGATGGATCCTGTAGAAAAAATGAAAACGATTCAGTTAGCATGTTCAGAATATGCGAGGTGATAGTTTACCCAAAAGTCAATATAATTGTACCAATTAATACCTGCATTAATGAATTTCCAAGCCGCTCAGCCATGGTCATAAATTGAGGATTTTGCATAACTTGCTGCATTGTGGCATAATATTGTTGCGTATCAAATTTGGGGATACCATCTTCAACTGCAGCACCTTGAAAGTTTTTCTGAAGCTGTTCGGCCATCTGATTAAATGAAGGGTCTTTTGCTATCTGTTCAGCTAATTCCTTGATGCTTGGATCCTACAACATACAATAGAATTTAGGAAACAATATATCCAGAGTATTGTTTTGTAGACTTCTTCTATGAATGCCCAAAATATCGAGTTCAGTAGATATAATAAACTGCCTATCACATTCTTTCAAGTCTCACTCCCTCAACTCTTATGAAATGTCCATGATCTTTCAATTGCAACAATTATAATGAAAGGAAATTCATGGGGTTCATGAGTTGGTAACTATTGTGCTAAATATCATTAAATGGGAAACTCTATTCGGTGAGTGAGGGGAAGTAAACCTTTTCATACAGTCTCCTGTATCAAAACAGATAAGTAGTTAAATAGAAATAACCTAATCAGCATGCAATGAATTTCAAAAACATGCAACTCAAAATCACTCTTTATTTAACGGAAGGCAAAAGGAGAAAAGGACAAACATTAAGTAGTCCAGTCATGGCTGAGAAATCAAAGGGATTTGGCATCCCAGCAACTGATGCAGGCGTTGCTCTTCTCTGCCCTGATTGTGTTTCCACGGAACTTGACACGGTTGAAGTTTTACTCTGAGCCACATTGGATTTCTCTTCTGAAAGCAAACACAAAAATTCTTCAGAATTCAAAAAATATTCGTAACTATATTTTAGAAATTAAACAGTCTAAAGTTCTAAAACATCAAGAGTGAAAAATAAAATTGGTACAAGCATTAGACAAAAAGTGATTGCATAGTTGTTTTTTTAAGTTATCCACAAGGCATGTCATAAAATATATGTATTTTCTTATGAACAATCACAGTAGATAACATTAGCATTATTCAAATAAATGAATATATTCAAATAAATGAATAAATTGAAGAAGATAAGGTATTTTTCAAGAATTTATGCATTAAGAATCCTATCTTCCCCATGGAAAGTGGAAAATTTGGACAAAGTCATAGATAACATCACAAGGTAGAGTAAATCTTCAAATTGTTATTCCCTTCGTTTACAATCAAATGTAATTTTATTTTTTATTTTTATTTTTTGAGTCTCATGTTCCTGCACCTAAAATTCTAGGTTCCAACACGTAACTTTAATTTCATAAGCTTAATTAAAAGAAACAAAGCGTCTAATCCAATCAGCAACTCTCATGTAATCTCAGTTTTCTTCCCTCAGTCTCTCTTTCTTCTTGCAGCATTGAATTCTCACTATCAGATAAAAGAAAAATCTGCTAGCTAACCATTTCAACTGACTTCTTTCAAGTAATTAGATACAAAGAATACTTGAATCTTAACTATATTTCTACCAATTCATTTCTTTTTATATGTCAAAACAGAAAAACAAGGCAACTCCTCTCAAACCTGAGAAAACTTAATCGGACTAATTCTACAAATTGATGTGATCTAGCTGTGCTGAGAGAATCTCCAAGAGACTATTTTTAAAAAGCATATTTTATAATTTTGAAAGCATCTAAAAATTTAAAGATTGAAAATTTTGATGTGCTCCAACAGACTCTTGATATTTAAGAATACTTAGACCCCGTTTGATAGCAATTTTTTATCCCAAAAAATTAATTTTTGACCATTATTTTATTATTCCTGTTGTCGTTTTTGATATCTTCACTCACAAGTCAAACTCACTTTTCTCTCTAACGGTCAAAAAATCAATTCTCATAATCACCACTGAATAGGCCCTTAATTTTATTACTTCCAAAAAATATTTATTATTTTTCTCTATCTTTTATTTTAAATAACTTTTCTATAAATTATTATATTAATTTCCTATATTGAAAATTGAAATACTTTGAATGCATTTAATTATAGAGTGAATTCAGAAGAGCCAAACCCAACCTCTAAATTAAAATGTTAATTTAAATAGTTTATTTTAAGTGTGCATACCTAGCAAGTTTCTCCGTAGGATATTGCGCTATAAGACAAGATGGCTATGATTGTCCAGTCTGAGATTTGGATATTGACTATCCCACTTGAAAACTGGCTTGAAGGGGACTAGCTTAAGAAAAGGCGTTACTACACAAAAGAGGAGCAGTTCATGCTTTGAGCTCCAAAAGAGGAGCAATTCATGCTTCGATAGCTCATTCGTCTCCTCCAAGTTATTGCACCATTTTGCACCAAAATGATTAAATACATTTTTACCCTTCTCTTCCGCTTTGCACCAATTTTTTAAGGGTGTATTTGTCCATTTGTTATACAATAAATTTTAATTCTAAATTATTATTATTATTATTATTATTATTATTATTATTATTATTATGTGCATTTGTAATAAATTTTAATCATTTAATCAATAATAATTAATTGTTAATACTATTTCGACTTTGTAATATCATGATATTGCAATTCAAAACGTATTACACTCTTTTTTAGTATTATGATTTAATATTTTCTTTGTCGTTGTATTTCTATTAATTCTACTACATTTTTAAATTTATTAATGAATTCAATATTTTTGTTAACTATGAGTAATTATTTACTTAATAATTTCAGTAGTAATAAAATAAATAAATCAATAAATAATTTTTTACATAAATAAATTGTTGAGAATTAAAAAATGAAGAAAATTATTAAACGCTATTCATTTTGTGCAACTTTTGGTATAATGGTTTGGAGATGATTTTTTGTTTGGTACAAAATGGTGCCACTTTTGGTGCTGGCTTGGAGATGGCTAAAACAATTCAAAAAACCCCCTAACAGTAATACCACATCCAATCAGTTAAAATATTGTCTAACTAAAATTCTCGAATGAAATATCTTAATTAATTATTAAATCCCTATAAGCATAATAAGAATATCGTTCGCTGTGTGACTCTTGATCAAATAGTATAGTAAATTCATGATTGGGAACTTCATAAATTTTCACATCAGAAATTGTCAAACATAACACGAAGAGAAAACATACCATCTGTCGAGGCTGGAGGACTTTTTACTTCCTGGAAGATAAAAAACATAAAAAAAAAAGGTTTTAAATATTACATCGCGGTAAATAAACTGAGAATCCGATTTTACTTCAAAATTATCAAAAATCAATATCAACCGAACGCTTCGAAAGCTCTTAATGATAAATATTAACTGGAATACAAAATCTTCCATTAATGAAAAAAAAAAATAAGAAATGTCTAAATCGAAGTCACGAAAAGCAGTAGAACTATCTATTTTCAAATAATAAAAAGAAAATTCGTCGAAACTGAACAGTACCTGAGACATGTTCGCAGAGAAACTGAGGTTCTTTGCTTGGAGAAGCAGAGATTGGTAATTTGAAGGGCAGACGAAACAAAGAGTGAAGGGTTTTTGCGTGTGATAAACAGATGGACTACAGTAGAGAGTGAGAGTGGGCCCACCTATATCTTTCTCACTCTGAATGAATGGCACAGATGTACTTTCATCTGATTGCGGATCTATTTGGGCTCAATCCAGTCAATAGTTTTTGGACTTGGATTGGGCCTATTAGTATAAGCAAAATGTTGTGACAATTGGGAGACCGATTACACGTACTAGGTCACGGTTAGCTAGTTCGCTAAGATTCCGTTTGATTGAGCTTTTATTTATTTATTTATTTATTTATTTTTTGTAGAAAATAAAAAAAAAAATTATTTCAGATTAGCTTCTTCTAGAAAACTTTCTAATCGTATAAGTACTTTCAAAAAATTTAAAAATCTCTTTTTAGTCTCGGGAACAATTTTTAACTTTTGAACAACTCTATCAAACGATCCTAAACAATATTGAGGAAAACAAATTAAATTAACGCTTCATTTATTATATTATATAACACCTGTTCGAGCCTTATTTTGGAAGGAAATGTATTTTAAAATAGTATTTTTAAAGAATGTGTAGTTAAAAAATAAGGAAAAATTTTAAACTTATGTGTAAAATTATTTTATGGACTAATTTGATTGAAATTGAGTTTTGAAAAGTGAGTTTTCAAAAAAACGGAGACCAAACATAAGCCTAATCTAGTTTAATAATGTGCAAAGCATTGCAAATTATGCACTCTCCAATTGAATTTGGGATTTTTTAGCCCCTGTTTGATGTGGATTAAAATTAAATATTTCGTAAATTCTTACACAAGTTGATGATATATATGATTGTAAAGTTGTAAGACACATAAAATATGTGATTCAAATGAATTGTTGAATTTAAATTGTAATCGATACCAAACATGAACTTAGTGTGCTTTCAATGTGTGTACAAATAATTTACACAAAGGTAATGTTTTTGAATTTTTTTACGATCACATGTGATTGCTAATACTTATTAATATGTAACAATCACATCAGCATCCGGCATTAGATAGTGTAATATAATTAAATAAAGTCGCTTAAATTGCTTAAAGTATAAATCCAATTGATACGAAATCAAAGCATAATGACCTAATTAGCAAAAATTAAAGTGCAGTGACTCTGATGATATAAATTGAAGTATGATTATCAAATTGAAAATCATGTCAAATTACAGTGACCATATCAGAATCTCTGTTTTTCCAAATTTCAAGACTCTTGTTAATACCGAAGAGGAAAATCAAAAGAATGCAGCCGCGGTATTCAATCTGTTTGATCCAGACCGAGGCTCCATTTTTCCAGATCCAAAAGCACTGAAGTTCATATACATATTACTGCTATAATTACACACGAAGATCAATTGGAGTTTGTGAGGAAAGCGATGGGGGCGGTTTTTAACGTTCTTGGATGGCTCATGTTAATCGTGCTGTGCGTTTTGCGGAGAAGCGAGGCCATATGGTTGAATTTACCGGCGACTGGGACCAAGTGCGTGTGGGAAGAAATCCAGAATAGCGTCTTCGTTTTGGCCGATTACGTTGTCATTTCTGATGACCACGTACACCCCACCCCTACTATTTCCACCAAGGTTACTTTGGAATTTTTTCATAATATACATGCACATGCATTTTATTTGATTTGCTTCTGATAAAATATATGTAAGTAGTGAATTTAAATTATACCAAAGTAAACTGATTCAATCCTAAAAATGCTCTCTTTTGCCACTGGGACTAAAGTGGAATTAGAGAGCAAGACTAGAATTCGAGATACGTTTTAAAAAGGTTGTTCTATTAAAAATGTATATTGGCTAAGATTTCCGAATCTTTTTCAGTTTAATTGTGGTAATTTAGCAATGATTTGGGTTGATTGTCAAAAAACAAAAACAGTAAAGAAAAGAGAGTGAAGAAAGTGAACTTGGCAGACGACTTGAATCTTGGTCTGAGTATGTAGATTAGACCAAGAATTTTCACATGATTTGGGCTCCTTTCTGTCTGTCACCTTTCAAAACAATGAATTGGACCTTTTTTCTGTTTCAAACTGGCCGGTTGTAGCTAATTTCAATGTGCTATGCTCAATTGTTTTTCTATGTGGATTATATCTCGTATTTCTATTTTAATTATAGGCATTTGACTTGGTATGATACGAAATTGCTTGAGATCCTAAAGCTAAGAATAATGTGACCGACTTATTTCAGTAAAGATGACACCTGATTGCTTGATGAAGTGATATTTTTGCTTGTGGTCCATCTTTTTGGGGTTGATTCTCTTCTATTCGCATCTTGTGAAGTTCACTCTGAGGGGAAAAGAAGAAAAAGTATCTGGCCTTAAAAATAACTATTTGATCATCGAAAATCTGTGAATGTGGTTTCATTATCGCTGCTTTATGGTACCACCCGTTTAAGGTAATGGAAATTGTAAAGTATCCTTTCGAAGTTCGATATGTAAGTCTCAGCTAGCAAAAATACTGATG